AAAATCAGAGGAACAAAAAAGAAAGGTGCATGCATGTGAGCACCAGCCACAAACCATACCCTGCAAAACCAGGAAGGGAGAGGTGGCGGTGTGACCCGGGGCTGTGGTAACCACTGTACCCGCTCCTGGGGCCAAGGCAAGGACTGTAACCCACCCTCCACGGACCTCTCCTCGTGTGAGCTGCTGAGGGGACACGGCTGTGGCCGCCCCTTGGGTTTATGAATAGGACGGTTTGTTGTTGCGGTGATGATAGCGGGGAATCCGTAACTACTTTGGGGGGTTGGTTGGGTTTTTGGAGGGGGGTACTGAAAGGGCATTTTCACCCGTTGCCTCCTTGGCAGCCTGCTCCCCAAGAGGGCTTCATGTCTTGGGTACCTGCAGCGCTTTCCTTCCCGCCCACACCCTCCGCCCGCACCCCACAGCGGCCGCCACTTCGCTCCCAGCCCGGCGTGTCAGGGCGGCGCAAGTGGAAGCAGGGACCACAACCCCCACTCCTGCCCTGCCCCCCCCCCCCGCGTACCCCGAGGCCGGCTCACCTCGCTCGCGCCATCCCGTGGGCAGGGCTGCTGTGTCCGGCCGCAGACTGCTGTGTCTGCCTTGGCCCCGCCGGTTAAGCCTCCCTCCCGGCCGCGCCCCCAGTTACGTGGGAGGCCGGGGATTTCCGCGCCCGGCTCGCGGCCGCCCCTCCCGCGCCCGGCTCGCGGCTGCCCCGGCTGCCGGACGTGAAGCGCGGCTGCCCCGCCGGGCTCCAGCCTTCTTCCCCACAGCGCCGTCTCCGCACAGCCCGGCGCATCTGGGCACCGGCCAAAGACTCTCGCTGGGCTGTGGGCCGACAAAGAGACACCGCGTTTGCCCCAAGACACACAGCCTTTCCTTCCGGGAGCCTGCAGCCTCACGCCAGGGCCCCTGGACAGGGGTGGAGGTGGAGCTGCACCCCCTTTGATCCCTGCTCCACCCACTCTCTGTGTATATATAGGTGTGTATACACATGCACACACGCGCTGTGTTTATAAAGTCCTTGTGCAGCTTCATACTTTAATAACTTCAGACGTACACACGATAGAAGCCAACTGCAAATGACGGCTCAAAGCATACGTTTTAAATACAACACAGTTCATATTTCCAGACTTCAACAGAACTGCCATCTGTTGAATACAGCGTTCTGTATCTATGATACAGCGTTCAATCTGATTTTCCAACTCGTAGAAAACATTTTCCAGTTGCTGCTGAGTGATTTCATGAATTGCATTGGTGACCCTTACCCTATGCATAACTTACATTATGTTAAAAAATTTAAGGGATTATGCTTTCAATCTCCATTTACAGTTTGCTTCTATCATGTGTATATATCCAAAGTTATTAAAGTTTAAAGTTGCACAACGACTTTAGAAACACCCTGTATATATAAAAAAAATGTGTGCACATATATATACACACACACACACATAATAAATATTATATAGTATTCTCTCTCTATATAAATATAAAATACACACACACACATATATAAATGCATTCTGATATATACATAAACTGTACCTCTCCTCTACCAGCCTGTCTTGTGACCGCTGTGGTTTACCTAACAGTCCAAAACACGTTTACAGTTACACCTTTCTTAGTCCCACTACAAAAAGCGCACCATCCACCCACGTTCCCATCACTGTCACTTTTAAACCATAACAATTACGCAACACCAGGTGCCTCATCTAGTCAGGCAGTGCTGAGGGAGTTGCTTGGCTCTATGGCTCCTAATCTACCCCATCCCTCCCAAACTCTTCTTTCCACAGCTGTTAACCACTCTCCTTTTTCCTGGCCTTGATTGTAAAATCATAGAATCATAGAAAGTTAGGGTTGGAAGGGACCTCAGGAGATCATGTAGTGCAATCCCCTGCTCAAAGCAGGACCAATCCCAAGTAGATCATCCCAGCCTGGCTTTGTCTAGCTGGGTCTTGATGTTCCAGTCATCAGGCTAGCTTTTCTTCTGTTGGCTCCTCCTGTTCATGAAGCTCCACTTTCACAGATAGTTGTTAACTTATTCCAGTGATGTGATATTTGTTTATGTTTGTTTTTTGCTTCAATCTTGGCTTCAGAATAACAGGGCTCAGAACGCAGTAGTAACTCCATGCCTTTGCCAGTAGATGGCCCAGAGCTAATTACTGAATGGTGACAGACGGCTGATTTAATTAGGGCAGGTTGTCCCAGGTTTTGACTTGCATACACCCAGTCTCTAGGACAATCATTTAGATGCAACTTGAATTGCAGTTACTTTGAATCAGCCTTGATTGTGGCGGCAAGGTGTTGTTAATTCAGATGCTTCACAGGTACTTAGGATGGCACAATTAGCTTGGTCACTCCGTAGGTGGAAGGTGATGCAGCCCAACCCCAACCTGGCTGTGCAGAGGGAAACGGGTGTGACCCAGCTCCAACCCACAGCATGGAGTTTGGTGGTTGGGAATTTGGCAGTCGGGAGAGTAGCTGTATTAATCACCACTGCTCCCTGCTGCCAAATTTCCTGACTTACGGGGAGATTTGTAGGCCAGATGCCATCGTTTTGCAGGCCTCATTTGACTCCCAGACTAGAGGTTGAGCACTCCAGTCTATAGGGTCCCAGAAGAAAAGATGTTATGGGGAACAGGTGGTGGTGGTGGTGGGAAATTGGTCATTTGTTTTTAGCCTAGGAGTACTCCCTAAATGCCTGCCTAGGAGATTCTGCTACAGGAATGGCAGCACCATGGTAGTGTGTAGTGAGCACTGAGCTTAGCAAATGCATACTGTTGAACCAGAATAATGTGAGCAGTCATACAGTGCAGCTCTGACACTCCCCCCCCCCCCAATCCCTAAACCCACACTGACTTATGCTCGCAGTGAACTTACTGTCTCCAGGAGTTAAGAACCAGCAGGTTGCACTGACTGTGACCATGCAGCACCATTTGAAAAATCAAGTGCCTGATTGTATGCACTCAAGTTTGAAAAATTCATACACTCATGGGAAAGTAGGGCTGGAAGGACCTCAGTCAGTCATCAAGTCTAACTACCTGCTTTGCCCTGAGGAAGATCAGTCATCTGTTTTTAGAAGCACTCTCTGAGAGCCTGTGTAGGATCTTTGGCTACAGGAAAGGTGGTGTTGCAGGGTGTACAAGGCAGGGTTATCCATGTCTGAACTTGCTAGATAAGCATTTGTCTGACCCAATGATTCTCAACCAGGATGATGTGAGATCCTTTTCAGTGTGCCATGAGTTGTCACACAGTATTAGGTGTGCAAACACCTACGTGATTTGCAAAATAAACCTAGAAATTTAAAAAAGGAGTTCATAGCATTGAACCACAACAGGTCTGTGTGGGTTTTTTTCTAATTTCTTTGCAGCAGAAGAATTGGTCTTTTACTTTCCTGTAGGAGTGAAAGCTAACAGCTGGCATTTCCTGAGGGGGGGTCTTGAATCTAATGAGGTTGAGAGCCACTGATCTAGCCTATTGTCACAAACTTCAGGAACAACCCTCACTTGCAACTACCAGGCACAATGCCTGACACATCAAAGATACCCTTTGGTAGTTTTGACCACAGCACCTGTTCATCTAACAAAAATCCCCTTAAAATCACTCTCGGTAATGAACGTTCAAAACAACAACTGACTGTTGGTGCAACAGATCATTTCTGTGGTTAGCAAACTTCTGATTTTTCTCAAAGACATGTTAAAATCCTCCTACATATCAGGGGGCCAGATTGTGCCATTTATTTTTAAGGAGAAAGTCCTCTTGACCTTTCCACTGATGATTGTTGCTTATAAAAATCAGTCTGGATCAATGAATCTTGATTCTGGGGCTCTCAATCCTTTTCTCCATTTCATACCTAAGCTCAGGTAAGTGTAGACCTTTACAAAGTTCTGCACTTAGGACAGAACAATTCCATGCACCATTACATTTTGGGAGTTGACTGGCTGGGCAGCAGCTCTGCAGAAAAGGACCTGGGGGTTACAGTGGACAAGAAGCTGAACATGAGCCAACAGTGTGCCCTTGTTGCCAAGAAGGCTAACAGCATACTGGGCTGCATTAGTAGGAGTGTTGCCACCAGATGGAGGGAAATGATTATTCCTCTCTATTCAGCACTGGTGAGGCCTCATCTGGAGTACTGTGTTCAGCTTTGGGGCCCCCACTATAGAAATGATGTGAACAAATTGGAGAGAATCCAACAGAGGGCAACAAAAATGGTTAGCGGGCTGGGGGCCATGACTTCTGAGAAGAGGCTGAGGAAGCTAGGCTTATTCAGTCTGGATGTCAGGTTTGACCTAGAAACCACTATACAAAGCCCAAGCAAAAGTCTCTGTTATGTAACTAATGCCCATCTGCAATGATAAGGAGGAGACAGTCTTAGATAAAGGATGCTTGAAAACAAAAGCAGAATCAGAGGACTAGGGCAAAGAGCTAATTTAAATATTAAAAATCACACCCCTAGGTGGGGAGAAAGTATGCTAATGAAACATACATGTATGTAAATGAGATACATAGCTAAAACACAGGTATAGAGACATGCTCAGTAAAGAACTCCTTGCATCACTCCCTTATAACCAATTAGCAAACAAGAATGCTTATGAAGGTCCAATACTCCTGTATAAAAGATGCTTAGAATTAAGAATCTGTGTGCTTGTTACGTGAAATTATTCCGCTTGCACCTTGTATTGCTAGCAATAAATCTTCTTTATACTTTCACCCCTGGTATCTTTATTGGCTTTTGCATACCGGGCACGATCCCAGACTTGAGCTGGGGCTCAACATGGAGAGGAGAAGACTGAGTGGGGATTTACTAGTAGCCTTCAACTACCTGGGCCTCCAAAGAGGATGGGAGCTGGACTGTTCTCAGTGGTGGTAGATGACATAAAAAAGAGCAATGGTCTCAAATAGCAGAGAGGGAAGTTTAGGTGGATATTAGGAAAAACTTTTTTAACTAGGAGGGTCATTAAGCACTGGAACAGGTTATCCAGAGAGGTTGTGGAATTTCCATCCTTAGAGGCTTTAAGACCCAGGTAGACAGAGCTTTGACTGGGATGATCTAACTGGGGCTGGTCCTGCTTAGAGCAGCGGGCTGGTCTACATGACCTCCTGACATCCCTTGCAACCCTAATTGTCTATGATTCTATGAATCCTTTTCTCCATTTCGTACCTATGTACTTGCGAGGGCAGACCCCAAGTGGTGGCCTCTGGAGGATTAGCTGTGTCTGTAGTGTTAGATCCTCTTGATTTTGGCTTCCATCTTGCATTAAAAGATGCTTTAGATTATATAAGATGTACCTAGCTCTGAAAACAGATACTGTACCATGCATGTTCCTGGGTTACTAAACTTGTGTAGTATTTGCTTCATGTTAATAAAATAACCTAGTTCAAATCCAGTGAATCCAGCATTCAACTATTTAAAAATCATAAAGAGAGGTTTTGAAAAATTTGCATCAATAATTGCTTCTGTCTTGAGATTTTACATGTCCAATTTTCAGATAGAAGTACTATGTTATAAGTGCACTGTCACATGCTTTCTTATAAAAAAGGTTTTAAATGATACATATATGTGGGCAACCAAGATGATCAGAGGTATGGAGTAGCTGCCATTCAGGAGACAGTAAAAAGGCTAGGATTCTTCAGTTTGGAAAGGAGAAAGAAGGTTGT